TATTCACCAGATGCCCCGGCGCCCCCCGCTGGCCGCTTGCCATCCTGAAATTAGATTATGATAGGATGTGAAGCGGCAAAGGGGGCGGGGCTTACATCATCAGTGAAGATGGCCAGTTTGCCACTTTCCAACATGTCCTCCAGCTCTTCATTGGTGGTGGTTCTTCCAGCTGTGAACACACACACACACACACACACACACACACACCGTGATTAAATTAGGGTAAATCAGACGACTACGGAACAATTAAACACACTTTGTTTCTCCTTTGTTAATGTTTGCTAGCGCATCATCACATTGTTAGCGTGTAAGCATTTGGTTAGCAGGTGGCACTCACTGATCTCCAGCTGTCTCTGGATGCGGTCCTTGCAGCGGTCGCGATATTTTGACTGCGTGGTGTTGTACTCAGTCATTACCTCCACAAACTTGCGCGACAGCGTCGAGTGCTGAGGGACAGGTTGGTAAAGATTGAATCAGCATCAGTCTGTAAACCAATCACTCTGCCACACCAGACCTCACAGAGAACATCAGGGATTGCTGCGAAAAATTATTTTTGACTTCACTGTTTTGAAATCGCACCAGGCCACAGGAGGCAGCGTAGGCTACAACTGTACCGTACGTGAGGCTAAAAACGACTTATTTCTCTACGGACTCTAGTCTGTGAGGTTAAATCACTGACGTCCTCTGGTGTGACAACACTGAGGTCACTGAGGTCACTGAGGTCACTTCTTGTCTCACCTGTGTCTTACGGATCCTAAGATCTGCTGATGATCTGTTGAGGCCCTCCTCCTGTTCAATGCTCTGCTCAATAGCTGCAGGAACACACACACACACACACATGCACAGACTTGTCAGTGTGTGTGTGTGTGTGTGTTTAGTGCAGAGTTAACCTCCTTCACTGGTCGTTGGTTCTGCTGTGGTCAAGGGAGTGATGTTCGTCCGTTTACCTTTTAATTTTGAACGCACTTTATTGGCTGTTTTCTTGATGTCAGCTGTGAGATCCTCCAGCTCCTGCTTGGTCTCTGAAAGGACAACAACAACAGCAGCAGCAGCACAGGTTTAGTCAAGCCGTAACTGAAGCATAAACCTACCAGCTCTGATTCTTAAGGTTAGCTTTAGCCCAAGATAGCTAGGTTAACTTTAGCCAGCTCTATGTCCAACTTCAGGTTAAGCCAGGTTCAGTTAAGACAGTGCTTCTCAAATAGTGGGGCGAGCCCCCCTGGGGGGGCGCAGTGA